ATAATATTATCTCCCTCTTATGTTGGCATCACTTTAGGGATAATATTATCTCCCATTTATGTTGGCATCACTCAGGGATAATATTATCTCACTCTTGTGTTGGCACCACTCGGGGATAATATTATCTCTCACTTGTTGGCACCACTCAGGGATAATATTATCTCACTCTTGTGTTGGCACCACTCAGGGATAATATTATCTCCCTCTCATGTTGGCATCACTCAGGGATAATATTATCTCCCTCTTATGTTGGCATCGCTTTAGGGATAATATTATCTCACTCTTGTGTTGGCACCACTCAGGGATAATATTATCTCTCTCTTACGTTGGCACCACTCAGGGATAATATTATCTCTCACTTGTTGGCACCACTCAGGGATAATATTATCTCACTCTTGTGTTGGCACCACTCAGGGATAATATTATCTATCTCTTGTTGGCATCACTCAATTGGCATTATAGGCCTAACTTTGGGAAGATAGTCCTTATTATAGAAGTATACTCAGGTGCATGCCTTGGTAAACGATATCTAGTGACACATGACAGACGTTTTACTCAACAGTCTCTGATTACTGCATTGTATACTGGTCACAAGCAGTATACTTCCTCTGTCCAGTCTAACTTTGTCAAAAAGTGGTTGTCAAGATTTCTATTTTGCAATAAGCAGATGGATGTTAAGATTTTCAGACATGATAAAGCAATCAAAGTTAACTAGTGGACATACCACCAAAGCCAACCTGAAACCAGAGTTTGTGTTTCGTACTAGTAGAGCACTGGAAAATGCACAAGCAAGTATAAATAGTGTAATATGGAGTTCGTTAGGCCAAAAAAAAAAAATATTTTGTTGCCCTCAGCGACCGACCGAAAAATATGAAATATCGGGTCGCGTTTTTTCCCATATACCTCGGCTATTTACAATACCCTTAGTTTTCACGAGTTTAAAAAAATCCGACCGACCGACCTAATTTTTCAATTTTCCGACTTGAAGGCAACATAAGTTGTTTGTTTGTTTTTTGGCCTTGTGAGCCAGCCTATCACATATGTTCCAGTGTCACTCTCCCTTGAAGAATGAAGCATGCAATAGACAAAGAAAGGAGTGGTGGGAGTCGAGAGCAGCAGTGACTTTGGAAAAACATGATAAAAAGGAAAATTCTGTTTATGCGAGGGTTCATGGCCGTTATTCAAGCAATGAATGGAAATATGTACAGCGCATATTAAGACCTAAGACTTAAGTGCAAGCCATGTGGGTTTGTTGTCACGATTTTTTCAACTGCAAGGGAAATTTTCCGATGTTTTTGGCCGATATGACGATCAAAACCTTGTGAAAGTTGCTGAGAGAGGTAGGTGTCAATTTAATACAGAGCCGTATGTCCACAAGTTTTTTGACGACGCCCAGGTGCCAAATGGAATAAGTTTCTTGCCAGTCCTTCAAACAAATCTGCTCTTATAGCGTACCACCACATCTAATGCCAGAACAAAATATGAATTTGTCTGGTGGATTTCAGAATGAAGAAATAAGGAAGAAATTCACCTCGGTTGGTAAAGTGGCACGTATCGCATGCACAGTTGTACAGTCTCGTATGTATGGCATTCAACTGTACGCAACTTTCGGATAATCATTTTTATATGTTGCATCAAGTAACCACTATATAATCTAAATACTAAAGAAAATTACTATAGCCATTCTGCACAAATTCTTATGTATAATTTATTCAAAATAAAAATATATTTATTTTAATCATTCTCTTGTTCATGTGAAATACTGCATTGTATCACTATAGGATATATTGACTTGTGGGACTGTGAAGACAACCCATGGCACGCCCTCTATGCTTTAGAGAAAGAAAGGAACAGGGAGATTTTAGTCATGTGGTGTTGTAATATACTGTGTTTCATTCTTTAAAAGACTAAAACCTAACTGATTATTCTTTAAATATGTATATCATCTTTCCTTTCTGATTATTAAACTCTATTTTTCTGGAAACTGTACCACTTTTAATACGAGAAACAAGG